TTACTAGTTGGTTCAGTTCCAGTTTAATTAATCGTCATAATTAGTTGAATTTGGTTATAGTTGATAGTTTAATTTGGTTATTGGTTTTGTGGTTATCAATTCTGATTAGATTAGCTTGTGTTAGTTTTTCTTTTGATAGTTAGTTTGGTTATTAATTCTGAGTTCAATTTCTAGATTCAATAAGAGTTTAAAATGGGATAGATTCAGAGTTTAGGAAAATGTTTGGTTATAGATGTAATTTTAGTTTAAGTTCAGGGGTAGCTTACACATTTAGGATTGGGTAACACATGGTAGTTGAAACTAGAATCTTCTAGGGATTTCCAAAGTAGGACTTTAGTGTAATTTCAGTAATTGTAGAGTATTAACTTGTGACACAAGTCAGAAAACAAGGGACTAATAGGCAACTGAAAATCTGAAGCTTCCCCTTAGTTTTGCCTATAAAAGGCAGTCTTTATTTCCTTGTTGGACAAGTTTGGAACCCCAAAAATTCCCCCAAAAAACCCTTGGCTGCAGATCTGAATTTCAGATTTGAATTTCAAAAATCTTCATCTAGATTTTAGTTTCGAAAAATCCAGTAGAAAATTTCAAATTTCAAAACCAAAAATAACAAAAGACTAAAAAATCAAAAAAAAACTCTATTGTTCCATTGAAATTGGAAGTTGATTTCAACTTCTGTTTACTAATTCACATTCTGCAGTTGCTATCTTTGCTTGTTGAAGTGTAGAGGTTCATTTCGAGTTGAAATTAGTGTTCTAAGTCTAGTTTGGGTGTTTTTGTTGGTTGTCTATGCATTGGTGTTCATTTCTGGGTTGGTTTGCTGCTGTGTGGAGTTGATATGTGGGTTTTCTGTTTGGTTTGAACATTTCTGGGTCGTTTGGTCTTATATCTGAGCTGATGTTGATTCCTGCTTGCCCACTATTGCTGTTTGAACTGCTGAATATCAGTTTGATTACCTGTTGCTGATCTCTTCTCTTCCTTTTCTATTTTGCTTCCAGGTATTCATTTCTACTTTGAGTGATGTATAGATTCAGATTGAATGAAGCCTAATTGAGGAGAATTTGAAGTGCAAATGCTCATTACTGCTTTAGCTCCCCTCCCTATATTCATTCTGGATGTTTAAATCATGTTAGATTGAACAAGTAGAACTTGGTTTAAATTGGCATAATATGGACTATAATTAGGACTTTAAAATTACTTGGACTGTTATTTTGAATTTTCAGTTTGTAGTAATTGTTGAGATGTGTAATCGTATATAATGGCATCATTTGAACTAGAAGGTCGTAGTATTATAGCACACGATCTGAAATAATGGGACTGTCGTATAACAAAATTGTCAAGTTGAGTCGAGTGTATCTTAGTTTCGTATGAATTTGTTTTATTTCGTTGGTGTTATCTAAACCTAGTATGAAATCCGAAATAGGTACCAATCAAGTACAAATCTGATTAGGTATGATGTCATAACTTTGTTAATTCACTAGCACATCCAGGTAGTAGTAGTAGAGGTTATTAAATCTAATGAATACGTGATTAAGCTATATTTGTGATAGCCTCCGTGTAATTTAATTTCTGTATGCATCTCAGTAGCTCCAAAACGTGGAAAAAGTCAAAAGGGCTTAGGATTGAACTGGTATTAGTTTAATAGTCCATTGTTGGACCGTCTGGGCTGCGATGGCTTATACAAACGGCCCAGACCTCATACCTGTAGCAAACATGTTAAGACAGTTTGGCCCAGCTCGTTTCTGGACAAATATTGAGGTCTCAACACCTTTAAAGGCGTGGTTTAATTGAAAATCACAAATTCGAAAGTACTGGGTCTTAAATAAGGCTCACTAATTAGGACCTCTGTTTTGTTATTGGAAAAAAGTATATATAGAAAATCATAGTCACTTTTAGGCTTGTCCTTTAAAATAGTAAATGAGACGAGCCTCGCCAAATAAAACTACAAGTTGCGGGGCCCTCGATAATTGGTTATGTTAAAATACTTAGAATTCGGGATGGGCCGTTTAGCGAATTTCACGGCCTTCCCAAAAGATAACAACGCGTTAGCCACTTTAGGTGCGATTTTAATAAAATTACATTTCTAAATTCGGGTGTGCATTTCATGTGACCCAAATCCAAATCCTAAAATGTTGAATAAAATATGTTTCGGATTGCGGGTACATTTCATGTGATGCGATCCAAAGACATGTTTTAAACGACGTTCAATCTTTCCTTAAAAATTGAATAAAAGCGGTTGAAAGTTAAAATTTGCACATAGGTTCATAATTGTTTAAATCAGATAATTTAGCTAAATATAGCAGTTGAGCGACCGTGCTAGAATCACGGAATCCGGGAATGCCTAACACCTTCTCCCGGGTTAATAGAATTCCTTACTCAGATTTCTAGTTCGCGGACTGTTAAACAGAGTTATATTTTCCTCGATTCGGGATTCAACTGGTGACTTAGGACACCATAAATCTCCCAAGTGGAGACTTTGAATTTCTTAAAATAAATCCCGTTTCGATTGTCCTTTAATTAGAAAAACTCTCTTTGCCTATACCCTTTTCCGGGGTGTAGGTGAAAAAGGAGGTGTGACAAATGGAATCCGCTCATTAAGGTCGCATGAAGCCGGCCTTAATAAGCAGATGGACTAACTGTATGGGTCGAAATTTATCTCAGTATTTGGGGGGAAAGTAACATCGAGATAAGAGTCAACTGAGGTCGACCAGGAGATGGTGAAGCCCGTGGTCGAGATGCAAATGATGGTCGATGTCGAGCACTGCAAAAAGTGTCGTAACGTCTAGTTTAATAGGGCAAGATATTAAAGATAATATTCCATTAGATATTCTTTTTACTGGTACTATTAGGATTTATTAGGGGTATGTCCTATATAAATAGTAAGAAAGATAATGAATAAGGGCATGTGATATTCACTTGATAAGAATACTTTTCAGAGGAAGATTCTCTCTCTCTAGCAAAGATACAAACATTATCTTTTCATAAATATTTTTGCTCATAATATTCCATATTTTTCCATCAGATCCGAGAATAGTTCGAACATTCTAGGATTTATCTGTCACTCATCATTGTCAGGAGGAACAATCATCTAACTTATTCATCATAGGGTGAATCACTCCTCCTATTTACTTAAATGTCATTTATTGTTATTTATTGCTAGTTACTCCTCCATTATTGCTCATACTTTTAGAATATTTAATGCATGATATTATCAATCTTCCACCAGATTAGTCCCACATTATCCGTACATTCAAGATCCAAGTTTAGAAATATTATTATTAACTAGGTTTAACCCATCACTATCTAAATATAATGGTTTAACCGAAAGTTATACTTTTTGGTCAAACAACACTGACAAGCGATCATAGGCACTCTCTTTGAGGCCTAACATTTGAAGGCCTCGGTGAGGCTTATATAGTTGAGACTAATACGGACAGGTGAATCAATGTAGCTTAATCACCGGTCGCTACACATCTTGCATGATACGAAAATTATGATCAACCACTTTCACTTTTCTCAACCACAATTATACTATCATTTTGCTAGGAAAGAAAACAAAAGGCAACTAAAAATTCCAAAAGTACTATGATAAAGCTAAAACATAGATTTATTTCAAAACTTTCTATCATTCTTTTAAGGAGTTTTTAAAGGTTGATACCTTATTTATTTTAAATAAATACCCTTTTAAAAAATTATATTCCATAGCTACATTTTGATTTTTATAGCCAAATATCTATTTATGGTGACCTCTACCCTTAAGTCATAAAATACGCTTTGTATTATTTTCCTCTCTCATTCTTTCCGATTTTTCTCCACCCTCTCTCTCTCTCTCTCTCTCAACGCCAGTTCTCACACAGCAGAAGATTGAAATATAATCCGCCATGGAAGAAATCGAAGAAACACCAAAAAGTTCATTGCTATTTCCCGTTTCCCCCCAATCTCAAATAGCTGCACCGCCCAAACGTCCCATTTCTCCCTTCTTTGAGATGTTCCATTTTGTCTTTTTCTTTCTTTCTTTCATTTTATTCTTTTCCCCAACTTTTCTTTCTGTCAAGACTTAGATGAAGCCACAATTTTCTATGTCAAGAGTCAAGATCAAGATGAAGATTCAATGGTTGAAGAGTCTGTTTAGAAATCAATGTCTTATGTTTCGTATCAATGTTGAAATCTGACATAGGGTAAATTGGGGCTGACAATGGAGGTTCGAAATCTGTTATCGACGAGACGACATTAGGGTTATTCTTGAATAAAGACAACGGAGTTTGGGGCTGAGCAACTTGAAGAGTTTGTTACCTTTTTTATCCGTTGTATTTCAATGTATCTTGCTGTATTCTATGTATTTCATCGTATTCATTGTCTTCTTTTTCATTGTATTTCCATGTATCTTGTTGTATTCCATGTATTTTATTATATTCATCGTCTCGCTATATTTCATCAATGTATTCATATATTTTTTTAATTAATATAATTTATGTATTTTATGTATTCAGATTTATAATTGTGTTTGTTGAGTTATATTAGGAGTCTATTGTGTTAGTTGATTCACTTTCCGTTTAAAAACAACTGAATAGACCATGAATTACGTTATTTACGTTATTGTATTCACAAATACATATCGTGAATACAGTCGAATACAATCGATATAATAATCTGTCTAGCTGTAATCCCCTATTTCATGTCATGAATAAAGTCGAATACAATAATCGTCTAGCTGTAATCCCCTATTTCACGCTGAGAAATGCTACTGTATTCATGAATACAGTAGCTTAAATACATCGAATACACTCTAAAAAACCTAAAAACATAGCTATAGGAAGTAATATAAAAAATGGTAGCTACAACTAGCTAATAACCACTAAAACATAGTGGTTTATGAAAAGAATAGATGTGTAATGTTACAAAACAAAAAGAACGAGGCGGTTAAGAGTAATTTTGTAAAAATATGGGGGAAGAAATGTAAAAGGCAAGAAGTTTGGTGCGGAGCGGCCGGTAGACACAGTAGCCAGCGTCGAAACATCGTATTCTCTGAAATTTTCCCATGTTAATTTCCCCAAAGGTTTCGGGCCACCGGCGGTGGGTCTACACCACATATCTCAACTCAAACAACTTCAGGCACTTCCTCTCAACCACGGCCGACACCACCGCCACCGCCGCCGACCCGTTTAAGACCCACCCGTCATACCAGCACCTCTCTACCATCAAATCCAAATCGGAGCTCCTCCAGTCCTACACTGTCACACCCCCCATCAAACCCTGGCCCCGATATCTCTCCCCTAAAGCACTCATTTCACTCATCAAATCCCAGCATGATCCAAACCTTTCGCTCCAAATATTCCACCATGCTGGCAACTTCCACCCTGGTTTTTCCCATAATTACGAAACCTACCAATCCATCATCAACAAACTCTGCCGTGCGCGCGCGTTTGATGAAGTAGAGACCCTTTTAACGGAATTGCAAAAGTCCAGCATCCAATGTGGGGAAGGTTTGTTTATTACTATGATTCGGAACTATGGGATTGCTAGTAAGCCCAAATTGGCCCTTAAGACCTTTCTGCGTATTGAAAAATTTGGAATTCAGAGGTCAATTAGGTCATTTAACGCTTTGTTGAATGCTTTAGTACAAAACAAAGAGTATGATTTGGTTTACGCAATTTTTAAGAATTGCCAGAAAAAGTTGGATATAATGCCCAGTGTGTTTACTTGTAATATCTTGTTGAATGCTTTGTGTAAGAAAGGCGATATTGATAGTGCAATTCAAGTTCTTGATGAGATGCCTGTGATGGGAATAGTTCCCAATGTGGTGAGCTACACAACCATTTTGGGTTGTTATGTATCAATTGGTGATTTAGTGGGGGCCAAGAGGATGTTTGATGAAATTGTGGATAGAGGTTGGTTGCCTGATGCAACGACGTACACTGTCTTGATGCATGGATTTGCTAAGCAAGGGAAGTTGATTGATGCAGTTAAGATAATGGATGAGATGGAAGAGAATGGTGTTGGGCCGAATGAAGTGACGTATGGAGTGATGATCGAGGCATTTTGCAAGGAAAAGAAGTCTGGTGAAGCTGTTAATTTACTTAATGATATGCTAGATAAGAGGTACATACCAAGCTCAACACTTTGCTGTAAGGTGATTGATCTCTTGTGTGAAGAGGGAAAGGTTGAGGAGGCGTGTGATTTGTGGAAGAAATTGTTGGTAAAGAATTGTACTCCAGATAATGCTATATCGAGCACACTTATTCACTGGCTTTGTAAGAAGGGAAAGATTCGGGAAGCAAGGAAATTGTTTGACGAGTTTGAGAAGGGTTCGAGTCCTAGTGTTTTGACATATAACATGCTTATTGCAGGGATGTGTGAGAGAGGAGAGCTGCATGAAGCCGGGAGGTTGTGGGATGACATGGTGGACAAGGGTTGCATTCCCAATGCTTTTACTTACAACATGTTGATCAATGGTTTTTGCAAAGCTGGAAATGCAAAGGAAGGAATTAGAGTTCTGGAAGAAATGCTTGAAAAAGGGTGTCTCCCAAACAAATCTACTTATTCCATCTTAATCAAGGGGCTTCTTGACTCTGAATGCGAGGCAGAAGTTTTAAGGGTGCTTCCACTGGCTGCTTCAGGTGATGTCGATCTTGAAACTTGGGGAATCCTTGTGGCCAAGTTTGTTACTGACCTTCGTAATGTATGTCCCATTTTGGATAAGATATTGCTTGAGAATGATACATAAAGGTTTGTTCTGACGCTCTTCATGCCCATCATCTGATTCTAATGTGGGAGCAAGCATGGTTCACAAAAGGATTATAATGAGAGTATTGGTGATTGTCTCGGTGCCTGGTTCAAGAAGGTACAAGCTCCCCTATACAAACATTTTTGAAGTTCATGAGAACCTTGACATTGTTGACAACAACTTTGGAGCCATTTCCGGAAGAAGACTGGAAAATGAACATGTGAAGCATGGGATATGCTGTTTGATGACGACATAAAAAGAGTCAAAGAAGTAAGAAGTGATGTTTTTAACTTTTTATACAGCTCTAGACTTCTAGTATTATATTATTGTGAGATGGATTAGGTTATGATGATTATTATTGTAAATTATGTCATTGTCTTATTGTGAATTGTTCCATATTCTGTGTAAAGGAAGGGATGCATACTTGGAGAATCAATCCCCTAATTCTTCACATAAATGTTCACAATACATCATCATGAAATGTCCTCATCCTTTCTTCACATATAAGTAGAAAGAGAAATATGACCATGACATTGTGTTATGTTGTTAATCATTTCTGGCACTACTACATAAGAAACTAACTCCTCTTGCACCTGTCCAATCACATCACAACAAAAAAATGAGATATCGATGGAAGAGAAAAAACAAAGCCTTGGAGAAACTTTGTCTACTTAGAGATATGATGCCTATTCCAAGTAAACTAGCAACTNGGGGGGGGTTACTCTTTTCCTTTTTGCCCATTTGTTTACGTTTGATATAAAGTGTGCTCTACCTGACCTTATTGGTAATTTGCTGAGAAAAAAATTGCTTTGCACGCAATCGTCTAACTGGCTAAGATGCCATGCATCTGCTTCAAAGAAGTTGATAGCACTTTCCCCGTTACCTAAACTTCTGCTTCTTACTGCTTCTTTTAGTTCTTTCTTATTGAAAGACTACTTCTCGTGGCATCTTATATGTTGAGTATATGACATGTAACATCATCCTGGTCCAACTCCAATATATTTCAATTTGTGAGAGTTGGATAACTCCACCGAGTTCTTATATACCTAGTGAAGGATTCCTTGCATATACCTAAAAACACAGTTTCCTAATTTCTGTGGCAAAACTTGCCTTTTCTTCTCTTCTATGATGATCATATGCAATTCATGTGTGTGTTATGAAGGTTTGAACTCTAGAATTCTTTTTTGGCGAAATTGCATTTTCGCCCCTCAGTAATTGGTAAAGGTTGATTTTGGTTCTTGTGATACCCAACTATGCACATTTAACCTTCAACTCCTTTAAATGTTTGTTTTAGTCCTTCAGCAACAAACTCCCACAAATTTGACAAATCATCAACTTCTAAAGTATAATATACTATGTTATAACTACTTCCAAAGTTTTTGAATTCAAAGTATGGACCAAGAACTCTATTTTCCCTTCGTCTTCTATGGTCCTTGTTTCCATTTTTAGATATCAAGTTTCGTTTTTTGCAGTTTTATATTTTCATCTCAAATGTTAATGACTTCAAAATTTCCAACTCTAATGCATTGTGCAGGTTTTCCTTTTTGCAAAAGTGATAAACAGCCTTTTGGTGGCAGCAATTAAAGCCTTCTGCCTAGCAGCCTTGGTTTAGCTGTATGTCTTTTTGTTATTGTACTTATTTAGCATATCCACTTTTTGAGGATATTTGCTGAGATCACTTGAATCTTTTGTTTTTTTGCAAATACTCACTACATGAGCAAATATTCACTGCATGTCTCTTTCTGTGATTACTCTCTGTGCTTTTCTGTTTGGTTTGGTTTTTATGGTTATACATTAGATGAATTTGCCTTATTGATGTCAAAGGAAGTCATCGTCTAAAATTGTTGGGAAGTTCATAATCTTAGATAATATTTAGTGGTCCATCTTATTACTGTTTTTCAGTGATTTGAAGATTGTGCTTTGAAGAAGTCAGGAAGTTGTTCATTAAATTCATGCTGAGTTACTTTATCCTAATACACAGAGAATCGCATTGATTTTGGTCCCGGATGCAATGGCTGTTAAACCTGGGTATGAGAAGAAATAAAGGAGGTAGTTGTATGACGACAGTGACAAAATGGTACTTCTTGGTTACATATTATTAACTAATGACTCACTGAATTGACCAAACAAATCTTACAAGATAGCTGGTGTAGTTGTTCTGTTATAAGATTGAAAGCAATTTCGTGGGAGGCTGGGAGCTCAACTGCACGATCTATCCTTCTTCCTTTAAGAAGGCTATTCTGCAACCATATTGAACTGAAGCGTCTGCTGTAAGTTTTTTAGTCCACCGGTGTGAATTTTAACTCGCTAGAGGGTACTAGCCTCTTCTTTTGGGCTCTCACTCAATTTATTATAGGAGGAAGGAGTTAAGTTGTTGCCGCTCTTTTTTTTTTTTTTTTTTGAAGA